TAACATCACGTTATTCAAATTATAGATACTTATAAACCTCAAAATTAACCTAATTTGCTTTCATCAAGCTCCTAGGTGATGCAGACTAGACATAATACTTTATCGTGGCCTCTGTTGCAGACTTGTATGAGCAGTTTTGACAACAATTTTTGTACGACGGATAGGAAAGAGCTATAATAAACATGCTATTAATACAGGAATTATTGTGATGAAAATTTCAGACAATCCCAACAATGAGGTCACAGGCATTTCCGAACGGATTAATAGCCTGTTAAAGTACTTCATAGGTAGCCTGTCGACTGTCATCGGAATACTGGAACAATATATAAAGTAAGAATGAATAGGCGATAGTTGTACTCTATTTCATATTGGTTTGCTAATAGTCGCCATCTCGCCATACAAATACGGAGGTTATATTAGAAAGCTGCAGACACTGACTAAGTCCGGGGAAATCCTATAGGTCTGATACACAACGGTAGGTCAGACACTACGGATACCTGGCGTAATCTACACCACATCACACACACACACACACGTAATCCCCATGGATAATATAGGGACAAGTTGACAGAGTCGTGAAAACGTTTTCAGATCCGTTTCCAGAAATCTTGGCTGCACTGTATGGTTTGGTGACCTGCACTTGGAAGGTTAATAGATAGTAATATAACCTGCTCCAGTATGTTACTTAGAAAAATCGTGTGCTCAAACTTATCTTACGAACATTTCTTAAATGGAGCCAAAAGCGATAATCAAGATAAATGCGAGTATTTATCCATACGATTCTACGTCTGTGATCCCCACCCCTCTTACTTTAATCAGTACAAAGGTAGGCTCACATGCCTTCAGGTAGGCCTGCTTCTCCTGATCAGTCCCAGGCCCAATGATACACCCATCGGTGTGGAATTCCGGGCAGTTCAAACGGCACAGGAATTAAAATGAAATTCAAACAACTGAGTATTCAGAAAACCTATTTAAGCTTATCTCTGTGTCAATTTTTCAATATCTTATTAAACTTCAATAGAAAATAAAGCAACTTTCGTATTTCAAACTGCTTTAAAATTTAATGAGTCTGTGCTTCAGCCGTTTTTGTGAATATTGCGAGTGAGTTTTCTTTCAGGTGTTTCATTTATGAGTTGAGATCTTAAAACTTGTTAGAAAGCAAAATCTTTCACTGAAAAAGCAAATGTTGCCTAACATGAAGACATAGACAATACTACGGATGATTTACACCTATTTATCACACATATCACCAGTGTAACTTAAGTACCACTGATACCCTGGCTGTCAGGACGTCCTGGTGGAGGATTGTTGCTTTTCCTCTCTATTTGATTGAACAACAGACTAACTACTTAACTAGGACTGGAATAACCTTGAACCATTATCGAATGTCAAGGAACCAAAGAGTGGTGACAGCTGAGGACAGATTAGGCACAGATATACATTTATAGGACTTGGGAGCAACCTTTATGATTGTGTAATGCCAATTAACCATCACTCAATTGGAGGCAATATATGTGGGTAAATGATTGTGTAATGCCAATTAACCATCAGTCAATTAGAGGCAATATATGTGGGTAAAATGTATGTCTACAGTTTGGAGGGTCCGGTTTCGAATCCCAGTCTTGGCTGTTGCTTTTCCTGTAATGTTACAATTACATAACATAGAGGGCTCAAGTGGTCACCAAAACACTGGATCAGTTTCTATGGTTACAGAAAACCCATTAGATCAGTCGCCATGTCAAAGAGTAATTCATTGTTATCATGGTAGTTAGTAATCCTTGTATTTGTTACCATGGTTACCAATAATCCATTATAAAGGTTGCCATGTTGCTGGGTTATCCATTGTGAGTTCCTTGCCTGCATTCTGTACTGTTGGAGGCTGTTACTTTTATTAGTGGTTAATTATACTATGATTATTATGAGGGGGAGAGCTTACATTGTGTGGGGGAAGGATGGTGAGAGGGGAGATACACACAGGGTCTCCCTACCCTCACCAACACTCCCCAACACATTCCAATTTGCAGGCGTAATTGGCTTTTCACAGCACATGTTTAAAGTCTTCACTTGAGAAAAAGGTAGTGCTGAAGTGACTGGCTAGGGAGTAGTGTTGGTGGGGGAGGAGGCGAGGGGAGGCGAGGGGAGGCTGTCACTCACATACTATAGCAGCAGGGCTATAACTACAGGTACACCACCAGTAATCAGACCAAAATTACACCAAACACTCCACAAATTGCTGAACATTAACTTTCATTCCTGTCTGCAGCTTGTGGCAAAGAAAAGTGATAGATAATATTTCAGGTTACTCCTCCCCTGTTAAACTGATTGCAGCTGTAAGCATTATTTATTTCCATAATACCTACCTCCTGTGTGCTGCTAATTAGTATTAACTCACCAGCTAGAAAACTACCAGCACAAACCACACACAAAAAATGCTATCATCACCAAGTAAATTTGAATAAAATCAAAATCTCATTATATACTTTTGACCTCGTATGACTTCTGGACATCCCATAACACTCTGTGATATAGATCTATCCTAAAAGCTATCATGTGCTCCGATATCCTTTGATGAGAGTAAGCTGAGAGTGTAGCCACACGCCTGTGATTTCTATCCTTCCCCCAGTTTATGTATGGAGCCAGCTTCAATTGTTATGGACCTTGCCCTCAAGTGTAGTTATGCTTATGTGAAAGTTCTGAATCACTACTTTTTTATGTCATACACAAGTTGCATTTATTGGCAAATGTAAACTCATATAAACGATTCATATGAATCATAGAAATTGCACACTTCAATCTGATGTACTCAAGACTGATGTTATACCATGCAAAGCAACTAAATCATGAATGATATATGTAATCTGTTAATTCAAGTAGGAAATATAGTTTACTAGTATTCATTGTAGTGAGCTTGGCAGTGGAACTGTTTTGGAAGTGAGCTTGGCTGTAGGTCTATTTTGTGGTTAGCCCGACTCTACGTCTATATTGTCATAAGCTTGACTCTAGGTCTATATTGCATTGAGCTGTTATAAACAGTAGATTTATGTTGCATCGAGCTTGAGAGTAGGTCTATATTGTAGTGAGCTTGTAGTGAGGTCTATATTATAATAATAATAATTTAAGGTTCTTATATATCGCTTTATCACAACCTAGTTCTCAAAGCGGTTAACAAACTATTATCCGTGGTTATAGGGCCTTTGCAACCAGACAATATCGTTCTCAACTCCCTGGGGAGCATACAGGCGGTGCTGCCATTTCAGCGCTCACAGCTAGCATTCAACAATTTTAGCACTGCCCAACCACGTACTCATTTACAGCTGAGTAGACTGGAACAAGTGGAGTAAAGCATCTTGCTCAAAGATACAACACAGTGCCGTGCCGTGACTTCAACCCGCAACCCTTTGGTCACGAGCCCAGCATCCTACCACTAGACTACCGTGCCTCCCGTATTGTAATGAGCTCGACTCTGGGTCTATATTGCATTGAGCTTGACTGTAAATCTGTATTGTATTGAGCTTGACTGTAGGTCTATATTTTAGTGAGCTTGACTGTATGTCTATATTGTAGTGATCTTGGCTGTATGACTATATTGTAATGAACTTGATTCTAGGTCTATATTGTAGTGAACTTGGCTGTAGGTCTATATTGTAATGAGCTTGACTCAAGGTCTATATTGTAATGAGCTCGGCTGTAGGTCTATATAGTAGTGAGCTTGACTCTAGGTCTATATTGTAGTGAACTTGAATGTAGGTCTATATTGTAATGAGCTTAACCATAGGTCTATTTTTTAGTGAACTTGACTGTAGGTCTATATTGTAATGAGCTTGAGTCTAGGTCTATATTGTAGTGAGCTGGGCTGTCGGTCTATATTGTAGTGAGCTTGACTCTAGGTCTATATTGGAGTGAGCTTGACTGTAGGTCTATATTGTAATGAGCTTAACCATAGGTCTATTTAGAGTGAACTTGACTGTAGGTCTATATTGTAAAGAGCTCGGATATAGGTCTATATTGTAGTAAGTTTGACTTTAGGTCTATATTATAAAGAGCTCGGATGTAGGTTTATATTGTAATGAGCTTGACTCTAGGTCTATATTGTAATGAGCTTGGCTGTAGGTCTATATTGTAGTGAGCTTGACTCTAGGTCTATACTGTAGTGAGCTTGGTTGTCAGTATATATTGTAATGAGCTTGACTGTAGGTCTATACTGTAGTGAGCTTGACTGTAGGTCTATACTGTAGTGAGCTTGACTGTCAATCTATATTGGAGTGAGCTTGACTGTAGGTCTATATTGTAGTGAGCTTGGCTGTTGGTCTATATTGGAGTGAGCTTGACTGTAGGTCTATATTGGAGTGAGCTTGACTGTAGGTCTATATTGTAGTGAGCTTGACTTTTGGTCTATATTGTAATGAGCTTGGCTGTAGGTCTATATTGAAGTGAGCTTGACTCTAGGTCTATATTGTAGTGAGCTTGGTTGTCGGTATATATTGTAGTGAGCTTGACTCTTGGTCTATATTGTAGTGAGCTTGGCTGTCAATCTATATTGGAGTGAGCTTGACTGTAGGTCTATATTGTAGTGAGCTTGGCTGTAGGTCTATATTGGAGTGAGCTTGACTGTAGGTCTATATTTTAGTGAGATTGACTGTATGTCTATATTGTAGTGAGCTTGACCATAGGTCTATATTGTATTGAGCTTGCATGGCTGTTGTACTGTAGTGTACAGTGAACATGACCAAAGCAGCTACCACAAGCATTGTAAGTAAATACATCATTTAAAACAGATTTTAAATATAGCACATGCTTTATCTAATAGTGAAACATGCTAACAAGAGTGTTCATTGAGAAGTTGATCTTTTTCTTACATTAAAAAATCAATAGTATATTCTTTCATGCAGAATGTAGCTATATTCAAGCCATGAAAACAACTTAAAAGAAAATGTACATTTAAGAATGATGTATGGGCGACACTAACCTCAATTAATTTGGGGTATGTGTATTATACTTACTTTCAGAATAATAAAATCCATAGTCTATGCAGACAGGCTGGATCTGTGGAAATGTTTGCCGCGATCACATCGGACCTAACTCAGCCGGTATCCCAGAGAATACACACCTGGCACTACATCCATACCTGTTCCGTTACCTGTTTACTTATTAGCCTTTTCTGGAACACCTTTCAGGTGAAAACCAAAACAAAATCTTTGATCATGTATACATCACTCATCTTTCCTTTTCAAATCACGGAAGACACTCCAGAAACATCATATGGTTAAATTTCCACATATCCATATTTTTCAGCAACACACATTACATTTTTACTAATAAACAAACTTTTATAATCCAAGGTGGTCATCAAGCATAGCTTCACTCTAAATCAGCAGCTTATTCACTTTAAAGAACTCCAAAGAAAACTTTTCAAACTTTCTGAAGTCATGACTTAACTATTTCCATGCACACTTTGATATACAAAAGTATCCCAAAGTTGTCAGAAAGTTTGATGAGTAGGCCCAGAAGAGGTCACCTGCATTACTGGTCAGCTGGTCAGGTATAAATTAACCAGCCTAACAACCCATGGTGTATACTAAAGGTAGGTGATGCTGGGTCTCTCTCTCTACAGTATCTCCTGGTACCGAGGAATGCTGGGAAATATGTAAATCCAATCAGAGGAGCATCATCTCCTCCTGTCGTCTGCTTCTCTGAGGCAGGCCTGTGCCTTTTCTTATCTCCCTCCCATTGAAGAGCTTGTTTGCAGCTGACCCAGGCTGACTTAGAGAAGGATCGTGCCTGGCTGTTTGAAGTCCCCCTATCTCTTCCTTCTATCACCCTATATCTGTACCAACGCTACCTATAACACAACCGACACATGCGCTCCCTACCTACCTACTTAATGAACATTTACAAACTCTTAAAAAACTTTTTCTCTGTCAGTGAATTGTATCGCGCTTGGGTTGGCACACTTGTGCGTGTTAATATCTGCGTGTAGGAGAGAGTGACAATGTTGACAGGCGAGGGCCAGTGACTCCTTGAGGACTCGTTGGAATAGTGACCACGTCTGGACCCTTCACGGGAACTCAGGTATCTGAGGGAGTCAGTGTGTATCAAGCTGAAGGTAAATCCGCACTAGGACAGGTGAAAAGGCAGAGACATACAGATACTAGTACTCAATGAAGCGTGCTCGTCATGATTTGAGCTAACGATTATCTATTTACCTGTGTTAAACACATACGGAGAATCACTCCACACTTATGACAATGTACTCAGGTTCTCTCCAACCTTGAGTATCGCCACTGATAAAATCACTATCTCTGGGTACAAGGATACTGCTTAATTACAGGTAGATGTACACAATGTCCAGGTCACCATAGGTCCAGTCCGGGACAGGTAAACATGTCAACGTCAAAACAATCTCAGCAGCCAGGTGTATACAGGTAGACACAGGTATATATTAGGTGTGTCCTCTGATTGTCATTACCACACAGAAAAGGCCAGTTAGGGGCTGTGATCAGTGACCACTGTCCAGTTAGTGACACAGAGGCGGTCAAATGACAGGTGGGTTAACACTTCCTTCATCAAAACTGACCACCCTGACAAATGGTCCCCACTGTCGGATACTTCCCCGATTAGACTTCTATGGTCATTCTTGCCATCATGGTCCATTGCATTACTTCCCTGATCAGATTTTCAATGGTCATTCTTGCCATCAAGCTCACTGTACAGAGCTGACCAACAGGTGACAGATTTAAGCCTAGGGTTCCAGTGGTCAGTTCTAATTACATCTGTCTATACTGTGTTAATGGGACGTTCTACTGGATCCCGTTTATGTAATGATCTGTGTGATTACTGCCTTGTTTGGCTAATGTCCAGTCAGGTGGCTGCTTTCACAGTTCTTGTTGACGACCCAATGGCCATTACAAGCTGGCTTCAGGCCACCACACGGGACTTTTACACCTTACCAGTGACCACAAGTAAACAAGTGCACTGGGGCATACAAAAGATTCGGAATCTAAAATCAATTCCTTATTGCACAATACTGACAATATTTATCCCTAATCAAAATACCTTCTATTACCTGGACAGGTAAAATCCTACTAATCTGTTGCTCTAAACCAGAGCGACACTTGATCATCCAGAGATAGCAGGACAACAATAGGTGGGTCGTCCCCGGGCTCTAGGCGCTGGGTAACAGGGGGCGGGACTCTCCTTTGACTCCGTTTTTTCCACCTTTTAATTTAACATGCAGGTGTGAAGAAACGCACACAAAGTGCCAGGTATGTGCATTAGCTACCTAAGAGTTTCTAATTTCACAATAATTCTGCTTGAATTGCTTCTTTATTTTCTTTTGTAGCCATGTGTCAAACTTCAAAGGCTCTAAAAAATCTACCCCTTATATGTGGATTGAATTCTGTCCTGTAAAAACGGTGTGTATTCCCACAGATTGGCTACTCTCCCCCGAGTGTAGCTACCGAGACTTTCCTTTAACCCTGGGATCTTGATCTCAGCCATTGGAGCAGTCCTACAAATACATGTAACTCTCACATTCCTTTGTAATCGAGATATGAGTACAATTTTATTTATGGAAATCTTTTTCATGCCATAAAAGTTTTTGAGTGAAGCGTGGGTAGTGTAACTGCCAGGTATAATGTTGGACCCGACTGTCAGCCCGATTATGTCAATGTGATATTAACGAACTGATACCACATCTCGCGTCTCCACCGAGACGTCTAAGCCACAAAAACTAACATCGTTCACTTTAGGAGCTAGAAATGCTTCCAAATCTGGTTTTAAAATTTAAAAATTGTTAACGTCAATAAACCAACACATACAAAAACCTCTGTAATTCCTACATTGTGGCCTCTGTGTGACAAGGGAAGTAACTCCCTAAAGCCTGTCAGCTACATTGCCAAACACTGTTAAAGGGATAGCATGACTATTAAAGAGAGCATTTCATTGATCGACCGACAAATAGATGGATTGCTGCTGCAGATAGAGTTATAGAGTTCAAATAAAGAGTGTCCAGGTAGTATGTTAGGGTTATCATAAACACTGTCCAGGTAGTATGTTAGGGTTCTCATAAACAGTGTCCAGGTAGTATGTTAGGGTTCTCATAAACACTGTCCAGGTAGTATGTTAGGGTTCTCATAAACAGTGTCCAGGTAGTATGTTAGGGTTCTCATAAACACTGTCCAGGTAGTATGTTAGGGTTCTCATAAACACTGTCCAGGTAGTATGTTAGGGTTCTCATAAACACTGTCCAGGTAGTATGTTAGGGTTCTCATAAACACTGTCCAGGTAGTATGTTAGGGTTCTCATAAACACTGTCCAGGTAGTATGTTAGGGTTCTCATAAACACTGTCCAGGTAGTATGTTAGGGTTCTCATAAACACTGTCCAGGTAGTATGTTAGGGTTCTCATAAACACTGTCCAGGTAGTATGTTAGGGTTCTCATAAACACTGTCCAGGTAGTATGTTAGGGTTCTCATAAACACTGTCCAGGTAGTATGTTAGGGTTCTCATAAACACTGTCCAGGTAGTATGTTAGGGTTCTCATAAACACTGTCCAGGTAGTATGTTAGGGTTCTCATAAACACTGTCCAGGTAGTATGTTAGGGTTCTCATAAACACTGTCCAGGTAGTATGTTAGGGTTCTCATAAACACTGTCCAGGTAGTATGTTAGGGTTCTCATAAACACTGTCCAGGTAGTATGTTAGGGTTCTCATAAACACTGTCCAGGTAGTATGTTAGGGTTCTCATAAACACTGTCCAGGTAGTATGTTAGGGTTCTCATAAACACTGTCCAGGTAGTATGTTAGGGTTCTCATAAACACTGTCCAGGTAGTATGTTAGGGTTCTCATAAACACTGTCCAGGTAGTATGTTAGGGTTCTCATAAACACTGTCCAGGTAGTATGTTAGGGTTCTCATAAACAGTGTCCAGGTAGTATGTTAGGGTTCTCATAAACAGTGTCCAGGTAGTATGTTAGGGTTCTCATAAACACTGTCCAGGTAGTATGTTTGGGTTATCATAAACACTGTCCAGGTAATATGTTAGGGTTATCATAAACACTGTCCAGGTAATATGTTAGGGTTATCATAAACACTGTCCAGGTAGTATGTTATATTGTTAAATTAGATATTGTTGAATTAATAAACTAACTCATTAATCATTTCAGACACAAACTTCAGTTTAAATTGTTTTAGCTTCATTGAGTGGTGAGCAATACTACATTCAATAAATCTAAATTTCAACATGGTTACCAACTAAAGCACAGATAAAATGATTACCATCAAACCCTATATTATTGTATTTCTAACCAAGTCCATTATACAGACCATCAAACCGTATAGTGTTGTAGTTCTAACCAAGTCCATTATACAGACAAGTGTACTTGTGTTCAGTTCTAGATATAGCATTAGGACCTACAGCAAACCTACGCCACTATTGTCCTGTAGTAATAGGCTTGGAAGACAAGCAAACCTATGCCACAATTGTCCTGTAGTAAAAGGCTCGGAAGACAAGCAAACCTACACCACTATTTTACTGTAGTAATAGGCTTGGAAGACAAGCAAACCTACACCACTATTGTCCTGTAGAAATAGGCTTGGAAAACAAGCAAACCTACGCCACTATTGTCCTGTAGTAATAGGCTCGGAAGACAAGCAAACCTACGCCACTATTGTCCTGTTGTGATAGGCTTGGAAGACAAGCAAACCTATGCCACTATTTTCCTGTAGTAATAGGCTTGGAAGACAAGCAAACCTACACCACTATTGTCCTGTAGTAATAGGCTTGGAAGACAAGCAAACCTACGACACTATTGTCTTGTAGAAATAGGCTTGGAAGACAAGCAAACCTACACCACTATTGTCCTGTAGTAATAGGCTTGGAAGACAAGCAAACCTACGCCACTATTGTCCTGTAGAAATAGGCTTGGAAGACAAGCAAACCTACACCACTATTGTCCTGTAGAAATAGGCTTGGAAGACAAGCAAACCTACGCCACTATTGTCCTGTTGTGATAGGCTTGGAAGACAAGCAAACCTACACCACTATTGTCCTGTAGTGATAGGCTTGGAAGACAATCAAACCTACACCACTATTGTCCTGAAGAAATAGGCTTGGAAGTCAAGCAAACCTACGCCACTATCGTCCTGTAGTAATAGGCTTTGAAGACAAGCAAACCTATGCCACTATTTTCCTGTAGTAATAGGCTTGGAAGACAAGCAAACCTACGCCACTATCGTCCTGTAGTAATAGGCTCGGAAGACAAAATATTGTCATTTAACTATCAATCAAGTTTTTATTTTCCAATTCAAGACCATTTTCATTTCTATTGATCCTGTTCACTGGTATATATATTTGATAAAAGAAAGCCTTCGGAGGGTTTCTCATTTCATTTTCTTTTTTTTTCTATATTTCTATTCAGACTTTGCCCTAAAAGTCTATTTTCTTATTATGTTATTGTGCATAGGCAACAGTTAGCCTGAATTTCATTGATTGCTTCAGCCAGTCATTAATAAAATCAAGAACTCCTTTTAAAAGCAATTTAAAAAAATTCGATTAATTTGACATGCGCTTTTATCCTGCAAAGACAGTTTAGCCTTCCCCATGCTCCAGCTGGGCCCACATAAGTAACATGGTAATAAATATAGCAGGGCACTACAATGGCACAACCCATTAATAGGCTTTATTTGGTAGGTCTTTACATAAAAAACTGATTAATGTGAAGTGATGTGTAAACTTCTATATCTTACTACACTCTCAAACTGCATTATGCTGGTCGCCTATACCACACAAAAGCTAAACCTGCACATACTCAATTCCGTTTGAAGTCAATTATCACTTGGAAAAAAAATATCAAATATCAAAAGTTTCGAAAAATTAATAGCTTTTTCTAAATCGTGCATATCAAGATGCCATAAAATGTTGTTTATTCAAATTTGAAGAGAGAAGAAAATGGAAAACACATCTATAAATAATGTCTAGGTTACACTCTACAGCAGGCCAACTATAGGTGACAGTGATAATGTTATCATTGTTCAGGAAGATCTGTCATAATACACACAGCAATAACTTATAACATCTGTCATACAAACTCAGAGTTTAATAAGGCTTCTTTTACATCCCTCGTTTTGTAAATAAACCACTGGCTACGTTTGTAAATAAACATACATAATGACCCCTACAGAAAACCACTGGCTTGGTATATAACACCCCCCTAGATTTTGTCTACAGTTAAATCACCCTATCCTAGTGTACACCAATTAATGAGGATGCCAACATAAGTCTATCAAATCTCTACATCATGTTCCTCCGATTAAAATCATGTGAGAACCACATCACTGCCTGCCTCACCACTATTAAAGTATTTACATTAATGCTAAGATATTCTGTCAAACAGGCTAAGAAATGGGTTTCAGCTTATGGCATAGGGGACGCGAAGTGTCAAAACATTGATCACCCTACCCAGACACATGTCATTGTGCCACTGGCTATAAATAGCCGACAGGAAGTGCTCCGCGGCCATGGTCAATTACCCGTCACACTGCTGGTGTGCTTATCCAAGCAGATCTGCCCTGATTAAATTCCCTGTTGACACATGGCAGGGTACGCTGTAATGATACTGCCAGTAAAAAGATAATTTGGTCAAGAGGCGTGTATACCAGAGCTTGGGGTAGACGGCTATTTAATGGGAAATG